TATGCTGCTGCTGCTGCTGCTGCTGCTGCTGCTGCTGTGTGTTGTGCTGCAGTTTCTTGGCAAGGTGATGTCTTCCTCTGAGTGTCTCCTTTCTTCTCCTTCTCTTTTGTCTCTTTGCCCTAGCGAAGGATCTAATCATTTATTATCTGAGGCATCTGTAGGTTCTATAGGAGGAGGAGCAGCAACAGCAACAGCAGCAGCAGCAGCAGCAGCAGCAGGAGCAGCAGCAACAGAAGGAAGCATGCAAACATCCGAGGAGACAGGTGTCTCCTCCTTGTCTCTACCTCAGCATCCATCAGGAGACAGTACAGCAACCCTAGTCCCTCCTTCCCTCGACAGCAGCAGCAAAGACACTCTACAGCAGCAGCAGCAGCAGCAGCAGCAAGGGAAGGGAAAAGGAGAGGAGACAGGAGGAGAGGAGACACCTCCTCCTCCTATTGGTGAGGATATATGGCTACATATACCTAAGACTAAGCCTATCTCTATTAAACAATTCTATCTTAATGGCAAAATTCCTGCTAGGAGGGTACGTTATCTGCTGCTGCTGCTGCTGCTGCTGCTGCTGCTGCTGCTGCTGCTGCTGCTGCTGTTGCTGCTGTCTCTTTGGAATGACCTTGACTAGTCGGTGTCTCTGCTGCTGTTGCTGCTGCTGCTGTTGCTGCTGCAGCAGGAAAGAACGTTAATGTGCTGCTTCTGCATCCTTTGCTTATGCTGTTGTTGCTGTTGTGTACGATGTCTTGCTGCTGCTGTTGCTGCTGTTGCTGCTGCTGCTGCTGCTGCTGCAGGCATTGCAATGGATAGCATGGCACTTTGGCGTCGATCCTTCGCGTTTGCTGCTCTTCCCTGAGCCTCCCCTCTTATCCTCACGGAAGGTTGTCCCTATAGATATAGATTCCTTACTAGTGTCTCCTGATGGCTGCTGCTGGGACCAGCAGCAGCAGCAGCAGCAGCAGCACCATCATATGCACCAGCACCAGCAGCAGCAGCAGCAGCAGCATATGGGTATGCTTGGACAAAGAGGAGACAGAGAAAATAAGAAACAAATTACTCTTGATGAATTATGCATGCAGCTAAAGGCAGGACAATCATGGCCAGGTAGTATAGAGAGGAAAAGGACACTAGAGGCAGCAACAGCAGCAGCAGCAGAAGCAGCAGCAGGAGTTAAATCTGCAAGAGGTGCAGCAGCTGCAGCAACAGCAGCAGCAGCAGCAGAAGCAGCAGCAAAACTACCTCGTGAGCTACATCTATGTCTCCTTCCTGGACATTTCCGTCTTTATTCACGAATAATAAATGTCCCCTCTTTGTCTCCTCAGCTGCAGCAGCAACTGCAGCAGTTGCTGCTGTCTCCTCTTCCCCCTGGTGCAGCAGCAGCAGCAGCAGGAGGATCTACAACAGCAGCAGCAGCAGCAGCAAGTAGTAGTAGTACAGCAGCAACAACAACATCAACAGGACCACAACCACCATCAGCATCTGCTGCATCTGCTGCTGCTGCTGCTGCTGCTGCTGCTGCTGCTGCTCCTCTATATTCAACAGTATATACATATATATGTCTTGTATTCTCTAGACAAGTAGAGAGAATTGGTCTTGTTGTTGGGCATATTGCTGCATGCAGCCCCGAAGGGAGACCCAATACAGTAGCAGACCTAAAAAGAGACATATTAGCTCGTCTATCTCCTAATACATTACAGGCATTAAGACAAGACTATCTTAATACCTGCAGCAGCAGCAGCAGCAGCAGCAACAGCAGCAGCAGCAGCAGCAGCAGTAATAATAACACTGCTGGAAGTACAACACCATCATCATCATCATCATCATTAGGATCAGGAGCAACAGGAACAACAGCAACAGGATCAACAGCAGCAGCAACAGGATCAACAGCAGCAACAGGATCAACAGCAGCAGCAACAGCAGCAGCAGCAGCAGCAGCAGCAGCAACAAAAGCAGCAGAAAAGGCCCTACAGGACGAGCTAGGGCCCTTACGTTTATCAATTTGTGATTCGTCGCATCTCCTAAGAATTCCTATGACAGAAGAAATCTCATGGCTTACTCATTATGCCTCTCCTTGTACGGCTCCTGCTGCTGCTGCTGCTGCTGCTGCTCCTGCTGCTGCTGCTGCTGCTGATGGTAGTGGTGCTGCTGCTGATGGTGGTTGTGGGGGTGAGGGTGGCGGTGGTGGTGGTAGGGGTGCTGGTGCTGATGCTGTTTCTTCTATATGCATGCATGCATGTTTCCTGTTATGTATGTTTGTTGCTGCTGCTGTTGCTGCTGCTGCTGCTGCTGCTGCTGGTGCAGCACCAAACCGTAATAGGGAAGGAATTACTAATCTTCTTGCTGTTCCTTTCCGATTAGAAGCTGACTATACACCCCAAGAAAAAGAACTTATTCGCACAGGAGCCAGACAGGTAACCAAAGGAAACACTCAGCTACCTAGCTAGCTACCTAGCTAGCTACCTAGCTAGCTAGCTAGCTAGCTAAGCAGATATCTAGTTAGTTAGCATGGATGCATGTATGCATGCATGAATGCATGCGTCTGTCTGTGTCTGTGTTGGGGTGTATGCACAGGTGCTGCTAGTGCAGCATCAGACACCTGGAGATCGGGAGCCTTTTGGATACCCATTCGAAATCCTTGTAGAGGTAAGCAGCAGCAGCAGCAACAGCAGCAGCAGCAGCAGCAGCAGCAGCAGCAGCAGGAGGAACAGCAGCAACAGTAACAGTAGTAGGAAGAGTAGTAACAGCAATAGAAGCAGCAGGAGCATAGGCTGCTCTATATTCTCTGCTGCTGTTTGTTATTTACATCTCTGCTTAATGCTGCTTCTGCTGCTGCTGTTGCTGTTGCTGCTGCTGCTGCTGCTGCTGCTGCTGGTGTGTCTTACAGCCTGCTGCTACTTTATCAGAGATAAAGTTGCAAATAATAAATAAATTAAATTTAGGGAAGAATGCATGGGGCAGCTGCACCTTCTTCCAATTAGGAAATGGAGTGCGGTGAGTGTATACAGCTGCTGCAGTTGCTGCTGCTGCTGCTGCTGCAGCTGCTGCTGCTGCTGCTGCTCGCGTTGTAGGTAGTGTTGTTGCTGCGGCTGCTGCTCACGTCGTTTGTGTTGCTGTTGCTGTTGCTGCTGTTGGTGCTGCTCACGTCATGGACATGGACGCTACTGTTGCTTCTGCTGCTGCTCACATTGCTGCTGCTTTTGCTGCTCCTCTTGCTGCTGCTGCTGCTGCTGCTGCTGCTGCTGCTGCCTAGGGTGTACTAAGTATACAATTGTCTCCTCTTTGTCTCCTCAGCTGTTGGAAGGGGCCAAACGATTGTCTTGATTGGAATCAGCACTGCAATATTACCCTCATTGGTATGCTGCTGCTGCTGCTGCTGCTGCTGCTGCTGCTGCTGCTGCTGCTGCTTGCTGCTCTTGCTGCTGCTTTTGCTACTGCTTGCTACTGTTGCGGTTGGGTTTGCTGCACATAGAGGTGCTGCTGTGGAGTGACGTTTGCTGCTTCTGCTGCTGTTGCTGCTGATTTGGGGTGTATGTACAGCTGAGCATTGGGCGCCGTATACTAAACATCGGATACATGGGGGCATGCGTATTGCCTAGACACGACGCTTGCTGCAGCTGCTGCAGCAAAGCTGCTGCTGTGCAGCAGCTGCAGCAGCATGACCAGCACAGTTTGCAGCAGAATTAGAGCCAATGCCAACCTAGCTAGTTGCTCGAGTTGCTGCAGGAGCATCAGCAGCTGCTGCAAGAGCAGCAGTTGCTGATGCAGCAGGAGCAGCAGCAACAGCAACAGCAGCAGCAGGAGCAGTTGCTGCTGCTGCTGCTGCAGTTGCTGCTGCCACGTCTGTATAATGCTGCCGCCTTCCTTTTAGCGGCAAGAGAGGACAAAAGAAATTGCATCTCTGCATGCAACAATGGGGTGATTATTTGGGGCTGGCTTTTAGCCTCCTGCTGCATGCATGCGCTGCAGCAGCAGCAGCAGCAGCAGAGGAAAAGCAGCAGCTCAGGTTTGAACTCCTCTCTCTACATAGTCGCCTGCAGTGCCCGTCTTGCTGCTGCTGCTGCTGCAGCAACAGGAACACCAGCAGCAACACTAGCACCAGCTGCAGCACCAGCAACACTGGGAGCAGCACCAGCAGCACTGGCAGCAGCACCACCAACACTGGCAGCAGCAGCAGCAGCACTAGCAGCAGCAGCACTAGCAACAGCACCAGCAGCACCGGGAACAGCACCAGCAGCACTGGGAGCATCACCAGAAGCACTGGCAGCAGCACTAGCAGCAGGAGGAGCAGCAGAAGCAGCAGCAGCAGCAGCAACAGCACTAACAGCAGCAGCAGCAGCAACGGCAAGATTGAAGTATTTTGTTTGGTTAATTTTTGTTTCTTTGCTTAGCCTCCCCTTTGCTGCTGCACGTAGCAACGCACCTGTAGCTAGCTACAGCTAGCTACAGCTAGCTGTAGCTAGCTAGCTGTAGCTGGCTGTGGCTAGCTGTAGCTAGCTGTAGCTAGCTGTGGCTAGCTGTAGCTAGCTGTAGCTAGCTGTAGGAAGGGGTACCGAGACCAGGTAGCTAGCTAGCTATAGACTGCAGCAACTAGTTACCTATAGACAGCAGCTAGCTAGATAGATAGATAGATAGATAGATAGCTAGACAGTAACCAGCATGCACGTACGCATGCATGCATGCATGCATGCATGCAGCAGCTAGCTACCAAGACAGTAGCTAGCTAAGAACGTGTTGCTGCATGCATTTTTTATGTCTTGTTAGTTCTAGTAATTATGCATGCAGCAATTGGGGCTTTATAATACTTTATATTTGCTGAATAGCAGCAGCAGCAGCAAATTGCTACTTAACAGCAGCAGAAAACTGCTGTCCAGCTGCAGCAGCAAATTGCTGTCCAGCAGCAGCAGCAGCAGCAACAGCAGGTTTTGTTTAACTCATAAGAGAGAGGGGGATCTTTCTTTTGTCTCTCCTTTCTTCCTTGGCTATATATATATTATATATATATATATATA